GCTAAGTAAGCCGAAACTAGTCTCGCGTTTTTAAATTTTAATTTTATTTAAATGACTTATTAAAGAATTTTTATTAATTGACGTCCTTTGTTTTATGCTCGTCTTTGGCCTATTGTCCTGTCTTTTTTATTGTTAATTAAATCATTCAATTATATATATATATATATATATATATATATTAATTTTATACATAGATGGAGTTAAAATGCGAAAGTAATGACTTGTTTACGAATCCTCGGCTGGAAGAATTTTATGATGCCTTTCATAATCTTGTGAACAAGATAGCTAATATTGCTCATCATTTACCATCGTTGGAATCATGGGTACAACCTAAAGAATGGCAAAGATTAAGGAAAGGTGTGTCACAAATCGATATTGCTAGGAACAATTGCACCATGTTTGCCTCACCACCTGATTGGTATTTGAACGAGATACATCAACAGCTGAATGTGATTCTACAAAAGTCTTTTCAGCCTTTGAGTGAATATTTAGAAAAATTACGGAAACAATTTGGCTATGTCTTCCATGAAATAAATCAAATTCGTCGTGATATAACCACTGCTATAATGTCCCCTGGAAAAGAACCTTCCTTTGAGGAATGTGTTGCTAAAGTTGAAGACTTCAATCATTTGATACATGTAATAAACAAAATGGTATGTAAATGACTGAAGTAAATTCTAATTTACAATTAAGTTATAGTACTAACAAAACAATTTCAATCTCATATATTTACAAAAGAAACAATCTTTTCATGTATCAAACATATTATCATGACAAAATTAATTAATTAAAAAAAGTAAGAAAAGGGTGACAAGTATAAACATGTTCTTTGATCAAAAAGCTTGTACATAATTAAACAATTAGATTTAAGTGGTACATATCTTTGTATTTTCATTGAAGAATCTTTTAATTTTAACTCAAGCAATAGTAGTATTAATTTTTCTTAAAAAATGTATCATAAATGTTAACTTATTCTCTACTTAAGTTATATGTAACATAAATGTATTATAAATGTTAACTTATTCTATTTAAGTTATATATAATGAAATTAAACAATTAAATCTAATAAGAGACACCATATTAAGAGACACCCTGTATATACAGGGTAGTCCGCTCATGGGTAGATAGAACGGACTAAACTAAATCGAAAAGTCTTCTACCATTTTGCAAAATTCACACTGTTTAACGAGATATTAATTTTTAAATATCGCCAAATGAACGAGTATCCGTTCAGCGCGTCCGATCCACCGCCAATACTAGCGCGCGACCGTCCATCAAACGTGGTTGCCTAGCGCGAGACACGCGGCGAGCGAGGAATTGTTTACAGCGAAAATGGCTGTGCGTTCGAGCGGCTCGTGACGCTGGATCCTTGCTTTGAGCTGATTTTTCCCCCATTTTTTTTAACTAAATAAAATTTCTTAATTAGAAAAATATATTTTTTTGTGTGTACGCACATGCGTGCGTATGCATGCGTGTATGTGTGCATGCATGCGTACATGCATAAACTACAATAAGCGGCGTGCGATACAAAAATCACGCATCGAAAAATAATATTGGTTAACGATAAAAGTGTGTTTTATACCAAAATAACCAATTTTTATTAATTTTATAGTGCTGATAATTTTTATTGACAAATATGTCAATAAAAATTAAATCTTAGCTCTAGTTTTCATGCTACATTAATTATGAGCATAAAAAAATCTGGGTTTAACGTCAGAAATAAGTGTGATATCATTGTTCAATATAATTTCGCAATACGACTATAAATATTCATTTCCAATTTATTTTTCTTTATCTGCTGAATACGAATCTGTCGTCTAACATGTCTTTGGCTATCACGTCACAAAAAAAATTGCATTTTATAGAAAATAAGTATCCTTTTGTACTTTCAATTAATAATATTATGTAAGTATAAAAGTATTTACTTTTCACATAATATAATATTAATGCCTTTTTTATGTATGACTTGGACAAAGAGCTATATTGTTATATCTCGAAAACGAAAAATCATACCAAAATGAGCCGCTCGAACGCACAGCCATTTTCGCTATAAACAATTCCCCGCTTACTGCGTGCCTCGCGCTATAAGGCAACCGCGCTCGATGGCCGATCGCGCGCTAGTATTGGCGGTGGGTCGGACTTGCCGGACGGATACTTGCTTATTCAGTGATATTCAAAAATTAATATCTCGTTAAATATTGCAAATTTTGCAAAATGGTAGAGGACTTTTTGATACAATTTAATCCGTTCTATCTACCCATGAGCGGTAATACACCTGTCAAGAGACATCCTGTATGTACATTATACAGGGTGTCACCAGAACTGACGTACTGGTACCAGCGTATTCTCTGTGAAATTCTAATTGTGAGTCATCCTGTGTATATACAGAATGTCCAGAAAATCGCCCGTAATATTTCGAAAGGTGATTCAGGACCTAAAAAGAAGGAAAACTGACTATATAAACATATAGGTTCAGAAATAAATCGTTTCATTATAACTCGGGAACGACTTATTTGTGGACAATCGCAATGTTGTCAATTGTAACGTGGTCAATCGCAACGTACGTGGTCGATTGCAACGCGTGGTCAATCGTAATATAGGCAAATACATAATGCGTGGTCAATCGACTCCTACTTGCCTTTTATCTATCCTATTGATATATTCACTCAAATTAATAACAACAATAATTAAATAAGACAAAATTTTTGCAGCCAAGCAATGAATACTTGATAACAATAAAGCTACAACAAATTACCGCGAAACATAATCTCATTGCTTATACAAATCAACTACGAGAACTTGTCATTGACAAACTTATCAAATATCATTGGAACTATAATCTCAAGATTTGCGCGACATTTGAAATAATAAAGGAACGTGTGTTAAATGTTCCTCGGACCACGAAAGAATTACTGGAGTTAGGTGAGTTTATTAATCAGTCACTTTACACACATATAAATATTACCAATTTCACTGCAATTGTATTAATAGTGCAAAAAGTTGTTATTTTCGTAGACTCGATTTCGAGATCTCGGGATTGACTGCACCGATTTTATTCGGACTGGTCTCAATTGAAAGTTTGTATCGACATTATATAACGAAAGTGTCATTAGATTTTTCATTAAAACTTTCGTTTCCGAGATATTAAAATCGGAAATCTGACAAGGCAAAACTTCGAGATAAAGCTAGCGGTAGCGCTTCGACAGTGCCAGTGCCGTATAGGTGCTCATAGGTCATCACCCGACTTTTATATACTTCGCGTCGCGCCGCTACCGCGTCGCTTGATAATTGTTTAAAAACTCGAATGCCCAGAAATTGTGAAAATTGTGTCAACAAACTTCAATTTTTCTTATATTGATTTTTGTATATATAATTAAATAAAATCTTAATTTGTCTCTTTAAATTAATTTCGTAATATGAATTTTGCTCTTTCAACAAAAAAAGTCTTAATTATCTTCAAAGCATCTTCAAAAATCTTTCTCAAATTCTTTCTCAAAAATTAACTTGTAAAAGTTATAAAATTATTAATTTTAAAGATATTAAAGATGTGAAGTATTACTTATAATTATTACTTTTAATAATATTATTATTTCTAGTGTTAAAAAATTGAGAATAATTGAGAATAATATTTTTAATGCAGGTCAATATATGTTGACAGCGAGGTCTACATTAATGGTGGAATTACAGGATAAAATAATTCTTTCGGTTCGTATAATGAGTTCATTATTCGAGATGACTACTCTAAGCAGACATCATATTGAATTGAATAATATAACAATTCAATGGCTAAGACGTATCAGACCAGTCTTGGAACGCAGCTCCGGATTATATGAACAAATGAAATTCGAGTTAGAAGAAAAACTTCAAGAGGAAGTTACTATTTTAAATGCACGGGTTGAAGAAATGTTTCCTAGGTATGTATATATTTGGTATACTTAGTACTTATGCGTGCATATGGATATAAACAAACTTTGACTCAGCACATTACTGTAATTTTGCTGTATTATCTAAATAAAATTAAAAAAAAAACAGTGATCTATCCTTCTCAACACTTTACATTTTACAGACATAGCAGCATTTATGCTTGTAATATTTAAACGTGTAAAAATCTGTAATTATTATTTTATACTAATTGATTTTTACTATTATACACAGCTTAGACAGCTATTTTGTCTTTTAGTTTTATATAATGTATAATACAATAAGAATATTTTCATATTTTTATATAAATTTAATCTTCAAATGGTACAAGGGCGAATTCGTACCGCAAACATTTTCGAATTGGCATTTGCACAGAAACATCTGTCGTAGCTTATCCCCACTACGTTAAATATGTTCAAAAGATTTCTGTTTTTTCATTTATTTAATATTATTAATATAATTACTTTTATTTCTTAACTTTCAGAAGACGGGAGACTATATATATATATATATATATATATGTATTCAAAATAAGATAAACAAATTGATTTACCAAGCTAAATTAATTTTTAGATTGATTATAATGAATGACATGGATGATGTTAAACGAGTAAAAGAATATATTGAGGATATACGGAAGATGGTACAACAATTGGAATATATGGAGCAGAAAGCCAAATGGATAAATGCTGAAGAGGCATTATTTCAGTTTCCACTAACTATATATCCACGTATAAAGGAATTGAGAGAAAATATTTTACCATTTTACAGTCTTATTTATCGGGGTTGTCAATGGCAGAGAGATCGAGAAGTTTGGTTAAATGGTCCCTTCGAGTATCTCGATGTTCAACACATTGAGAACAAGCTGAATCAATATTTAATAGACTTCACCAAAATCAATAAACAGTATAAGACAAGAATCAAGATGCAACTCGCGATGAATTATCCATACAGGTAAAATATTGTAATTTAGCAAACTACTTTCTATTTCTAGATTCTTAAATAACTTAAAATTAATTTATTCAACAAAAATATCAATGGTTAACAATATTATTATTAGTTCTTATTACAAACATTAATTACTTTTAATAATAAGTATTACTTTCATAACTAATTTTATTTATTTATACATAGTACAATAAAGGCCTATGAGAGCTAACACGATTGTCGGTGTGTATTAGTTTTTTACAATATTGTACATACATAAGCCTTTATTATACTATGTTTGTTTCAATCTTGAGAGTTTATTTAAATAATTATTTTTATTTATTTATATTTATGATTAAATAAAGTCTATAAACATGAAGAAAATAAAATTTTCTTCTAAACTTTGCATTAACTTTAATTAATTATCAAAGTTTCGGAAAAGATTTATATTTTTAAAATAATTGATTAAAAAATTTAATTTATAATTTAATCAAACAGGTACATTCTAATTCCATAAATATCTGTTTAATAAAAATTTCTTTTTAGTTATTTACAGAATAGATAAAAGCTATTTTCATAATACATAGGGTCATTATATGGATAAGTGTAATAAAAAAATTACAAAGTTCAACTTAAGTGTTCTGTAATCGTAACTATTTACTAATTTCAATTAATTTAGAATAAAATTTTTTTAATTACAAAATATATATAACTCAAAATTTAAAAAAACAAAAATTAATTGTAAGACAATGAAAGTACAGTGCAGTATTTAGTGCGTAAGATTAATATAATAGAATTTGTTTTTTAATAGTTCTTGAGATATAACGAAAAAAAATGAAAATTAATTCACATATAAGGGGTGGTTTCATCCCTTCAAACCATTTTTGGGCACCAATTGCCATTTTCTAAATTCATCTATTTAGGCAACCTACATGTGTAAAAAGTTTCGTTAAAATCAGAATTTAATACTTTGCGAGGTTCCTTTATAAGGCAAGACCGATCATTGATCCGATTAACTAAGGCAAGACCCATCACTGATCCGGCCGATTAAGGCAAGATCAGTTCGAATACGTCTTTAGCTGTTGATAAAATGTTCAAATGGAGCTCCATTTTCTTGCAGACATAGTCTCTACCATTTCTGAAAATTTCAAAATTGCAAAGTTAGAAATAAATTTTGCGATTTGTCATATCTCCATGTATCAATGCGTGTTTGATGGAAAATGTGAAAGGTGACGACAGGACTGTCGAAGCAGTGTTCGACCGCCTTCCTGCATACGCCACTGACTCGGCGATGCTGTGCTTGTCGCATGGGCAATCCACACGACAATAAGAAAACTCTCGGTTCCGTAAAAAATAGGAATTTAGTGGATAATGCTGTAGCGGCTTTGTTCGGAGTCGAACCGTGTCCCTTACAAAATGTCGTCAGAATCTCTCGTCAAAAACTTCGTCAGTATAAATTAAAAACGACCGAACTGTTAGAAAATTGGAGCAGAAGTGTTCTTCCGAAAATTCTTGTATAATGTCTACCCGCGGTGATCCCCGATTCCACGAAAAATTGCGAAGTTTGGCGAAACGATCCGACGGGTTTCTCGGAATCGCCGCGGTTGGTGCTCCGGCGCGGCGTCGCTAAATCGGCAACCGAAAATGGTCTCGCACAAATACTAAACAATCACACAGACAGATTTAAAAATACCATTATCTGCAATTATTGCACAAAAATCGGCCATTCGGAAAACGAATGCCGCAGAAAAGCTTTTCACAATCGTAATCAAAATTTTAATACTCGATATAATAATTACAGACGTGAATCTAACACTGGGCAAAATTTTGGTAATGATCAAGATAATAATCGTAATACGCAAAACAATCGACCGATAAATAATACACAAAATTATAATAATCAATATTCTGCAAATAATTCAACTAATACATCGCATAATTATAATCG